TAATAATAATAATAATAATAATAATAACAACAACAACAACAATATAATTCAAAAACTGAAATCATCTGGGCATAATTGTACACATGATGGCACACATCTTTAATCCCAACATTCTTGAATTCGAGGCCAGCCTGGTCTACATAGCCAGCTTCAGGTCAGCCAGAGCTACAGGGAGACCCTGTCTCAAAAATGTGGGGAAGGGGATGTCTTAGCAGTTAAGAGCACTGGGTGCTCTTCCAGAGGACGTGGGTTTGGTTCCCAACACCCACATGACTGTTTATAACTCCAATTCCGGGGAATCCAATCTCCATGGGCTCGTCTGTGGACTTTTACTTTATTTTATATTTTATTTTGTTGTATTTTTTGTCTTTTTGTCTTTTCATGTGTATAGGTATATGGTGTGCCAGCATACAAATGCACATTTGCATATGTGTGGGCACACATATGTACACATGTGTGTCAGGGTCCAAGGTTGATACTGAGAATCACTCTGTCACCTTATTTTCTGAGGCAAGGTCTCTCAATCAAACCCAGAACTTGAAAATGAAGACATAACTAGTCAAGGTAGCTGGCCACCACCCTGGAGAGATTTCTGTGAATTCTGGAGATCTGAACTTCTTTCCTCTTGAGCTTTAACTGCTGAGCCATCTCCCCAGCCATGTGCCATGCCACCCATGTGGAGGTCAGAGAGAAACCTGTGGAAGTTCTCTCCTTCTACCATGTGAGTTCAAGTTGCCTGGGCAACTTCATGACCTCCTGTCTCAAAATAAAAAGTAAAAAGAGGGTTGGAGATACAGCTCAGTGGTGGCACTCTTGCCTACCATGTATGGGACTTTAGGTTCAATCTACACTGCTAAATAAATAAATGGTGTGCAGAGTGGGGCAGGGAGGTCAGCAGGTAATCCATTGGCTAGATTAGGGTAGCCAATGGTTATGATTTGACTGGGACCAAGAGTTTTTCCTGCGATATGGGACCTTTGATGTTAACTGGGGAAGTCCCTGGAAACAGTTGGCCACCCCAGGGCGCTCATGGGTGACCAAGCCTACCTTACTTGTTGATGGAAGGAAAAAAAAGAAGTTCACTGGGACAACATAACTGGAACAACTGAGCAGTGGGCAGTCAGCAAGGATGCAGGAGGGAGGCAGAACCAGCTCAGATCAGATCAAGAGGTCAGCTTTCTGAGATCCCACAATGAGCCCTGTAAATCTAGCCAAGTGGCAACACTGCTATTAAAGCACTTAGACCTGCAGCTCACCCAGATCCAGAGATGGAAAGTCGATACAGAAATAGACACCCGAATGAAAACAGTCACTCGGGGATCTATAATTGCTGGTCACAAATGGGCCATCCTTCCCAGAGGGGAGCATCCATTTCCTGTAAGGAATGGTGTGCATGAAATCCAGGAGTGTGCTAGGGCTGTGTGGGCTCTGGCCTCTGCAGTTTCGATGCAGACCCCACCCAAAGCAATCTGCTATGGTGCAAAAGCAATCCAGGTTAGGGAGGGGTGGAGAGAGAAGGAGGGTACCGATAGAGTTACTGCACCCTATCTCTTCCTCTATCTCTGGCCCTTCCTACCCCTGCCCCACATCCAATACAGCCCCCTCTTTTTTCTGGGAATACAGTGCCTTTGTTCTGACTAACCTCGCTGCTCTGGCACTGGGCCTGTGCCACTCCAGCAAACAGGCTTCTCAGAGCCTTTCCCAACCCAGCACAATGCTGTCTCCTGCATGGTCCTTCCTTACATACCTCCTCCTGGGGAGCTACCCTTTCCATTGGAGGGCACCCTACCCTTACATTGCCTCTGACAAGCCCCACTGACTCCTGGCAGATTTCTGGCTGCCCCTTACACCTGTTGACCATCAGTCCACAGCAGGGGAAGAACAGAAGGTTTGCTGAACTCCACTAGGAGGGGAGAGGAGAGGGTGGAGCCCATGCGTGTCTCTCTCACCTGCCTGAGACCCCTCCTGTTTTTCTTCATTGGGTCTGCTGCCCAAACTTCTCCCATCCAAGCACCTTAGGAAAGTGATGACATTTTGTTCACTAAAAGCAAGGGTCTTTGAGGGGCGGGGTTATAATTTTGTTTTGTTTTGTTTTGTTTTGTTTTTGGTCTTTTTGAGACAGGGTCTCCCTGTAGCCCCAGCTGTCCTGGAACTCACTATCTAGAACAGGCTGGCCTTGAACTCACAGAGATCCACCTGCCTCTGCCTCCCTAGTGTTGGGACTAAAGGCATGCACCACCACACCTGACTATAATTTTGTTTTTTAAATACTGCATCAAAATATTTGTCTTGATTACTGAGCTTTTTGGCAACCATGCCTGGAACAGGTGACACACCCCACCCCCTTCTTCCTAGGCTGAGGACTTTGGCTAACTCTTCTTAGGAGGTAGAACTTTCAAATTTAAAAGGAGAGGCTGGGTGTGGTAGCTCATGCCTGTAATCCCAGCACTCACGAGGCCAGAGGATTGTCATGAGTTTGAGACTAGCCTAGGCTATGTAGTAAGACACTGTCTTCAAACAAACAAACAAGCAAGAAATAATCTTAGGAATGGTGGCACATGCCTTTAATCCTAGCACTCAGGTGGCAGAGGCAGGCAGGTCTCTGAGTTTGAGGCCAGCCTGGTCTACATAGCACTTTCCAGGCCAACCAAGGCTACATAGTGAGACCCTGTCTCTAAATAAATAAAACCAGGAGATTTCTGGGGAAACCAGGAGGAGCTCATCACACTGAGATGCCAGCAGTGTCATCCTGCATGGCTGCCCCCTCCCTGTGCTTTGTTTCCTCATTTGTACAGTGGGAAGGGTGGCTGTGGTAAGAACTGGGTTAATCCAGTGAACATGGTACAGTGCCTGGCCTGATGAGGACTTCGGAACTTGAGCCAGATTGTTGTGATCATTGAGTATCTGCCTGTGCCAGGAAGTGGAGCTTAGGACAGACTCTGCCTAGCTCTGAAGTAGCTCATATGGTAGCAGAAAAGTCAGACCATGAACAAGTATTAGCAAGAATTATATGCGCAATACGTGTGCCTGATCACAAGCCAGGAACATGTAGGGACTTTGGTAGTCCTCTGGAGAAACTTGGCAAAGGACTGTCGTCGTCCTCCCCGGCTCCCACCCCTATCCCCAACCTTCTCCCACAGCTTTGCTGAGAGAGGCTAGGACTTACCAGAGATCCCAGAATTCATGAACTAGTTTGGGAGCTGGTCCCTGCTCTCAGAACGGGTCTTATGCTTGTGGCCTCTCAGCTACTCAGGTGCCTGCCATGGCTGGGGCTCAGGAGAATAAACGCTACCAACCATTTAGCTTACCATCAACTTGTGGTCAACAGGAAGCTTGGACAACACTAGCAGTTACCAGTGACTGGGGGAAGGGGGCTGAGAGACTTCTTTACTGTGCACACTTTTGCATTTTTGAACTTAGAACCCTCTGAATACTTCTTTTTTTTTTTTTTTTTTTTTTTTTTTTTTTTTGTCTTTTTGAGACAGGGTCTCCCAGTAGCCCCAGCTGTCCTGGAACTCACTATGTAGACCAGGCTGGCCTTGAACTCACAGAGATCTGCCTGCCTCTGCCTCCCACTGCTGGGGTTAAAGGTGTGTACCACCATACCCGGCCCCTCTGAATACTTTTATTACCAATTAATAAATAAATGCTAACCTCCAAGGGTGGGAGTGTTTGTCTATAATTCTAACATTTGAAGACTGAGGCAGAAAGATCTGAAGTTCAAGGTCAGCCTGGACCATATAGAAAGACTCTCAGAGGGAGGGAGGGAGGGAGGGAGGGAGGGAAGGAGAGAGGGAGGGAAAGAGAGAGGGAGGGAAGGAGAGAGAGAACAGATAAACATCGTATGTACCTAAGTTCCAGACACTTGGAGAACTGATGCAAGAGGATCCCATAAGGTCAGCCCTTGAGTTCAACACCAGCCTGGGCTAAACACACACACATACACACACACACACACACACACACACACACACCCCTCACAGTGGCCATACCAGTAATTGTAATTCCAGGGTATGGAGGTAGAGGCAGGGGAATGAGGAGTTTAAGGCCATCCTCAGCTACATATCAAGTTTGAGGCCAGACTGGGGTACATGAGACCCTGTCTCACATCCCCTCCCCCCCAAGTAAGTAAAGAAAAATATAAAATAAAAATAAACACAAAGACTGTGGGTTATTGTTAGAACACTGGAGTAAACATACGAAGTTTCAGGAAAGTTTTGGGGACCCCCCCCAAATGGGTTCTCTAACTGGCAAGGTAAACGGATCTCCCAGGGGCTAATTCTCTTAAGCCTGCATTCAGATCACCTAGTTGTATGACCTCCCCCTGGCAGCACTGGGTCTAGATGCTTTTCCTCAGGGCCCCATATGGTACAGACCCCAAAATAACCTTCAGAACAGCCCCGAGAATGTGCTGAGAGGGTGTAACCTGCCCAACCAATCAGTCCTTAATCCTCTTTCGGTCCATTGGAGAGGAAAAAAGGGCTGTGGCAGCCAGCTGCTCACATCTGGGATTAACTGTGGAGTCCAAGGGGCACAAAGCCCACAACCCTTCTACCAGGAGTTCACTTATTCCCTTCTGGTTGGGTCACAAGTTTCGGAATAAAGCACTATTCTACAAATGAGACACAGGATAGTGATTAGGGCCAGCAGAATCCCAGTTGTTATTGTCTCCGACTGGGACATCCAGAAGGCCTCAGCTCCCCAAACCTCTGCATCTGTGAGGGTCAGGGATGGGACTGATATTCCTGAGCTCTGGCAGTCCCCTTTCTCAGCTTTTCCAGTTCCCTTCTCCTTCTCTGGACCGAGTTGAAGAATCTGAGAGTAGGTCCCAGCTAGTTAGCAGTGCACAGGTCACCTCCCCACAAGACAGAGTTCTGGACCTTCATTCCTTCTCTGCATCTTGTGGTCCCCAATTCTACACAAGCTGCTTCCACCTCCTCCAGTTTTCTTTAGGGTTGCCAGGGTTACCTGGACCGGTGACAATCACTCTTGCCTCTTACCTCACATGTCATGTGTCCTACTGCCATCTCTGCCCTGCTGTGTAGCTGGAGTCTCTGAAACCCGGATACTTGGGGTGGCCTCAGGCAAGGCCGGCCACCTTGAAATTAGCCTGGAGTTCTCAGTGTGTCGTCCCATTGAGGACAGACAGTCCAGCACAGGCAGAGACTTGTAAGCCATGTAGCCTGGGGCTTAAATGCTATAGGAAGTTCTAATTTTGCTGTACAAAGTGCTCTCCTCTGCCTGTCCATCCCAGGGGGAGGGCTCAGAGTGTGTTCTCCCCACCCCAACTGGTTGGACGAGAAGAGACATCAGACCTGAGCTGAACTAATGAGCCCCTGTCTTCAACTTTAAAATGGTGCTCAGAAATTGCAGTTCCACCATGCCTGGACAAGTTAAAAATTCTGAGGTCTTTGGACATCCTTTCCCTACCCTAGGAACCAGGGTTCAGAAGCCAAGCACAGTGGCACACACCTGCAGCCTCAGCACTTGGGAGGTGGAGCCAGAAGGAACTGGAGTTGAAGGCAAACCTTGGCTACATATGGAGGTCTATGCAAGCCTGGGGTACATGAGACTATTCTTGTACCTATCACCTGACATTTCCACACAGGCATGATGTCTTGAGCTGGCCTCTCCTAAGATGTGAATCCTGCTCAAGTGACTAGTAATGTATTGCTTTGGCCTTGGCAGTGGCTGTCTGCCCAGGCTGTCTCTGTTGGGCCCCTACTGCTTGCCCTGTGGACTACCAACAGCCCTTTCCCAGGCAGTCTTCAGATCTGCGTGCCTCAGCCTTCTTCAAGTTTCCTTTTGTTTTAGTAAAACCCAAGTTGGTCTCTGTTCGCTGCATCTCAGAGGTCCAATGGGCACACTCACATCATGTTCTTGGGCTCTCTGAGAGCCCTGGACATAGCCTCCTGAGAATTCCAACAGGCTTTGATAGCTAGTAGTCAAGGTCCCTCCTGAGCCAGGCATGCACACCTATAATCTCATCACTCAGCACTTGAGAGTCTAATACAGGAAGATCAGGAATTCCCGACTAGTCTAGGCTACATAGTGAGATCTTAGCCAACCTAGGCTACATATCTTATGAAATTTTGTCTCAGAATAAATAAATTAGGTGTCGTGGTAAATGCTTGTAATCCTAGCACTTAGGAGGCAGAGGCAAGAGGATCATGAATATAAGGCTATACTTAGCTACATATTGAGCTAAAATGCCAGCCTATACTACATCAGACCCTGTCTCAAAAAACACACCAGAAAAAAGAGGGAGGGAGGGAGTGAACACGTTGATAGTGCTACAGTGCTCCACAGATTCCACATCCTGTGCGTATATAACCTGGCCAACCCTCACAACCTGTGAAGTAAGTGATTTTTACCTCATTTAAAGGTTAGTAGAAAACAGGGTCAGAGAGGCTGAGGCTTAAGCAATGGAGTTTTTAGAAAGCTTTCCAGGTGACTGAGGTACAGCCAAGGCTGAGCAGGTGTGGTGCCTCAGGGAACGTCTTGTCCAGATCAGTGTCTCTGATCATGCAGCTAACTACCCTGATGTTGGACATCATCAAGGGGAACCAAGACAATAAAGTCAAGGAGCCGGGATCCTGGGGACACTGGGTGAGTGGACAGGTTGGATGGATGCCTTCAGAGGATTTTGTTTTGAAAGCCTAGGCAAACTAATATGCATTCATGGGCAAACAAAAAGATTTCCATTTATGATAGCACTGAGGAGGCTGAGACAGGAGGATTGCTGAAAATTCAAGGTCAGCTTAGGCTATAGAGAACCTAAAGGAGATTCTCAGCGGGACCTCACTATGTATTTTTTTTTGTTTTTGTTTTTGTTTTTGTTTTTGAGCTCTCCTTATTTGGAACTCACTTAAAGACCAGGCCATTCTCGATCTCACAGAGATCCACCTGCTTCTGCATCCTAAGTGCTGTAATTAAAGGCATGTGCCACTATGCCCAGCATGTTGTTGTTTACTTTTTCTTTTTTTCAGTTTTTGTCTTTTTGAGATAGGGTCTTCCTATAGCCCCAGCTGTCCTAGAACTGTCTACGTAGACCAAGTTGGCCTTGTTCTCACAGAGATCCTCCTGTCTCTGTCTCCTGTATGCTGGAATCAAAGGCATGCATAACCACACCTAGTGTTGTTTGCTGTATCTTAGATAAGGTAGATCTGGCTGGCCTAGAACAGGTTATCTAGACCAGGCTGGCCTCAAATGCACAAAGATCCATCTGCCTCTGCCTTCCAACTGCTGGCATTAAAAGTGTGTGCCGCCACACCTGTACCTACTTCTATTTTACATGAATTTCTCACAATGAGCTCAGCTGTGTAGTTTCCATTGGCACTGGGAATGAAATAGGTAAAAGAATAGGTATGGCAGGTGCTCTGATGATAGAAAAATAGGAGCTTAGAGGCTTGGCAAAGAGGAAGAGGTTGATATACAAGACAGAGCTGAGCACGGGGCATTCACAATGGTCTGCAGAGAGAAATATAATTTCACAGGCTCAGTAACCAGATGACAATTCAGTGAAATCGGTGCTCATAAAGATGCCCGGAGCATTCAGAGGACCTATTTTCAGATGATACAATCATTTTAGTAAATTTCTTTTCCCTTTATTTTTTTAGAAATGGTCTCAGATATCCCAGGCTAGCCTTGAACTCACTATGTAGCCCTACATAGCTGAGAAAAACTTTGAACTTCTGATCCTCCTTCCCTCTGCCTCCCTAGTGCTGGGATTACAGGCATGCAATGCCACACCCAGTTTTATTTGGTGCTGGGAACTGAACCCAGTGCTTCATACATAGCAACTAGGCATACACTATACCAACTGAGCTGCATCTCCAGACCTCATTTAAATAAATTTCTAACACAAATGTCTAGTTTTTAAAAAGGCATGGTGCTAGGCATGGTAGCACACACCAGTGAGGTCTACAAAGTGAGTTCCAGGTGAGCTGGGGCTACAGGAGACCCTGCAAAAAAAACAAAGGTATAAGGTGCTATAGAAGGATCATATACAGTTCATTTGTACTGTTATCCACTTCTTTTTCTTTAATCAAAAAATTATTTATTTATTTTATGTGTATGAGTGTTTTGCCTTCATGTATGTAAGTGCATCATGTGTATGCAATGCTCACAGAAGCCAGAGAAGACGGTGTTAGATTCCCTGGAACTGGAGTTATAGATGGTTGTTAGCTGCCATGTTGGTGCTGGGAACCAAACTCAGGTCCTCTGCAAGAGCAGCTAGTGCTCTTGTTTTGGTTTTTTTTATTTTGTTTTGGTTTTGTTTGAGACAGGGTCTCCCTGCAGCCCCAGCTGTCCTGGAACTCACTATGTAGACCAGGCTGACCTTGAACTCACAGAGATCTGCCTGCCTCTGCCTCCCAAGTGCAGGGATTAAAGGCCTGTGCCACCACGCCTGGCTTATTTATTATTTTTATTTTATGTGTATGTGTGTATTGCCTGCAAGTAGGTAAGTGCACCTGTGTCATGCAATGCCCACCGAGGACAGAAGAGGTTGTCAGATTCCCTGGGGCTGGAGTCACAGACAGTCATTAGCTGCCCTGTGGGTGCTGGGATTTGAACCTGGGTCCTCTGCAAGAACAACCAGTGTTCTTAACCGCTGAGCCATCTCTCCAGCTCTCATCTACTTTCTTATTCAACAAAGGTTTATTGAGCACTGTCCTGGGTGCTGAGGACAGAAGGTGACAAGACAGATGAGATTCCTGGCATTTACATCGTAAATGGGGAAAAGACCATGGGCAAGTTATAAAAAATATAAAGGCAGTTATAAAAAATGGGGTGTGTTGTGATACATAGAGACATACAGCAGAATGCTGTGCTAGGCAGTGTGTGGGCTTCAAAATAAATGCTCTTGGGTGTTCAGAATAAAAGCTCCTGGGTGCTCATGAAGGGCCTCGATGAGGAAGAGGCATGTGAGGCCATTTCCTCCCTGCTTCCTGAGTTTCAGTCTCACCCTCTAGGACCTCAGAGTCTTTGCAGATGAATACTTGTGGCAGGGGAGCTGGAGAGATGGCTCAGCAGTTAAGAGCACTGCCTGTTCTTGCAGAGGTCCCAAGTTCAGTTCCCAGCACCCACATGGCAGTTAACAATCATCTGTAACTTTGGTTCCAGGGGATCTGATGCCCTCTTCTGGCCTCTGAGGACATTGCATGAACACAGTGTACTTACATGCAGTAAAAACACACACATAAAATAAAAACATTTAAGCCTGGTGTGGTGGCACATATCTTTAATCCCAGCACCCAGGAAGCAGAGGCAGGCAGATCTTTGCATGATTGAGGCCAGCTGGGGCTACAAAAAGAAAATAAAAAATATTTAAGAGTCCTTGTGGCATAGAGTCAATGGCAGCTTCCCTGAGCTGGGAAGAAGAAAACAAACCAACTACATTCTCCTGCCAATGAGATATTTGAGGTAATTCTGGCTTCTAGAAGGAATTACTGCAGTTCCTCACAGTCAATGGAAAGGCTCTCCTGTGGGACCTGGAGGCTATGTCAGCAGTGGAGTTAAGGCAGCTCATAGAGAAGATGGCTCTCTTCCCTTTGGCTTAGCAACAAAGGACTCTGCCCTGAACACCAGAGTTGATAACTGAACACTGACTGTCACTAATTCAGTGGAAGGTTTGGAGCTGTTTTACCCTGATGGGGCCGCCATCCTGAAGTGACCTATGTTGGAGGCTTCCTATGGTCTGATTCTGACCCAAAGCCAAGTGTCAAGAAGCCTCTGGCTGATTGCTCTAGAGACAGCAACTGTCCTACTTGGCTCCAAAATACAACACAAGCCACTTGCTCCCTCTGAACTGCTGACATTTTTCGAGTTACTTTTTGTGCATTTGAATACTTGGCACCTTCTGCTAAAAGCTGGCTATAAAACTTTCACCTGCTTTGAGCAAAATAATCCTGGGACAGATTCCAGTTCCGCTTCAAATGCCACAGGAATGTATGCAATCCTTTTTAAGAAGATGCTTGATTATGTTTTTAGTACCCAAGTCATTTGGTCAGTCTTTAATCCCCAGAGCAAGACCCATCATAAAACAGAAATATTTCTGTG